AAAAAAAAAAAAAAAAAAAAAAAAAAAAAAAAACACCAAACCCAAAACCCAAACGCAAGAACCCAGAACCCAAAAACCAAAGAAACCAAATCCCAAACACAAAAACCCAAAAAAGAGGGGAAATAAACATTAAAAAAAGGTATCTCAAACCTTCTTCTTCTTCCCCATCAATCTTTGGTTTCCTCTCTCCCGAACCCTCCCCAACCTCGGTAAACTTCAGCCAGCAGCCGCACCTCCATCAGCCGGCGATGGAGCTTCCCATGCCCCAAAACATCTTCCTCACCGACCCATCACTCGTCCCTCATCCCTCGGATCTCTGTTTTTCCTCGTGCATCCTCGGCTTTCTCTGCCTCTCATCTCCCGGATCTTACTCCTTGAACAACCGGTAGCCTTCCTTCGAAGCCACCGGTGATCTTCTTTTCCTTCTCTCATCATGAGCTTCTTTGCCACATCGAAACCCCTTTGAATCCTTTTTTCCTCTTTTCACGCAACCTCCACCTTTCTCTGGATCCCTTCTTCTCCCATATAGCCGATGCTCATCTGTCAAAGAAATTGCCGGCGATCTTGGCTTCAAACCACCTTCTCGAACCGTTCCAGCAGTCCAGCACCAACCACACCGGTGAGTGAGCAGCAGGATGAGCGAGAGTACAGTCAGATCTACCAACCAGCAACGGAGGTGAGGTGCACGCGAAGCTCCAACGACTCGGCAAAGCTTTAATCTCCCATTGGCTGGTTTAGATTTGCAGATCTATACTACTACAGAGCACGAATGGAGTGACGAGAGGCCATATGCATTTCACAGATTTTTGTAAAAGGATCAAGATCGGAGAGGCCCAAATGCATTGCAGATTCGGGTAAAGGAGAAACAGATTTGAAAAGCCCAAAACCGTGGATCCTAAACACCCAGAGAGTGATTTCTGGAATGTTCTTTAGGGTTTCTTTGTTTGGGTATAAACAGAGGGTTTTAGGTTAGAAAAAGGGGGGTTCTTTTGGTTGAGTCTAGTGTTGACGGCGGGGAAAAGGAGGGTTTTTCTGCTGGAAGGGGACTGTGTTTGAGAAAGGAGATTGAGGAATTTCATCTTCGGTTGCCATTGTTAGGTATAGTTCTGAACAGAGTATTTTTGTTAGGAATGGTGAAGGAGATGGTGGAAGCTTGATCCCGTAGGTGGGGATTCCTTCCATCAGATCCAGATCTGTTTTTCGTTCAAAAATCCACCGTGCTTGTTTTTATTTTTTTGTGGGCGTTTGTTTTCTTAAATCTGATGTTAAGTTTGTGTATGTTTCGTTGAAAAATGAATGAAAAATCAAGTGTTTATCTTCTGCTGAAATGACATTAACCCTAAAATCCAGATTTCATTTTCGTTTGATGTTTGATTTTTTTTTTTCTATGTTTTGCTTGAGAGTTTATGTATTTTTTTGTTGGGAGCAAGGAGATCTTAAAACAAAAAGGAAAAGTAAAAAATATATAATATAAATAAAATGAATGAATTAATTAAGATAATTGACTTAATTTATAATTAATAAAATTAATTAATTTTAATTAAAATAAATTAATTATATTTATTGGTTTTAATTTAAAATAATTATATTATTTAATTATGTAAATTAAAGATTAATAATGTGATTAATTAATTTTAATTAATATTAAATTAATCATTTTCTTTTAATATTAGTCAAAGTCAAAACTATCTTTTTTTTCATTTCAATTTCACTCAAAACTTTTATAATTAAGCAATTTAGTCCATGGGTCTCAATTCTTTTCAAATCAGTCCTTCATATTTCGAATTTAATCAAATTAATCCCTTTAATTTTTATTTGTGCTTACGATGCATGTATGTCTTTGATTTTATCCATTTTAGTCCAAAAATTCAAAAAATATTTCAATTTGGTTTATCTTTTTTATGTTTGCTTACTAAGACCTAAAATTTAAAATATAATAAATAAGTTGAATTAAAACCCCAATGTTAAAATATGCAACCGTGTTTAAACGGAGGATTGTGAGGTGCACACATGCTCTTCATCACTCCTAACTAAACCCTTGAACTCCGATCTCTATGCAAACTTGTTTTGGAAGGGACTTCTCTCACCTTATAATTCGGCTTATAATTCGGATGAGTGACGACTCCTTTTTTTATAGATTTCACATTTAATGTTGTTTTCATTGTTTTGAAAAAACCTTTAAGTTTTGTTAATGTCATATATAACAGGACCTTTTTCATCGAACTCCAATGGTTTTAAAATAATTATGATGATAGCTGATCCCGGAAAAGATAACACACCTTCTCCTTCCTGGCCCATTGTTATTAGTCCTAGCGCGAAGTAAAAAGGGAGGATGAATGATGTTGGATCGAATTGTTAGACCCTGCAACAAGAATGTGTTACATGATTCAGTGACAAATGATAATGCTATTGATTCTGCCAATTGCTCGAAACAATCGCCCAAAAATTAAGAAAAAGGAAAAAAAAAATATATATATATATATATATATATGAAGAGGGATTAATTTACACATAAGTATTATACATTATACTTATACAAAATTTTGACCACTCATTCTTTTACTTTTAATAGTTGAAATTTATTACGACTATTTAAATGAAGAAAATAATTATTTTTAAAATTTGTAAATAAATCTCAATTATTTAAAGTAGAAAGATAAATAATTAAAATTTTGTATAAATATAATATATAAATATAATATATAAAACTTATATATAAATAAATCTCAATTATTCAAAGGAGGACGTTTGTATGGATAAGGGGGAAGACTAAAAATTCTTTGTTCTCCTTTTTTTCACTAGTGTAACTCCTCTAGTTTATGTGTCCAAGAAATTACTAGAAGTTAGTTTTGCATAGGTTTTCAGTCTTTCTTATTTTGAATTAGCTTAGAGTGCCTTAACTGTTATTATCATGTAAGGTGTTTTGAGACTATGGGTGGAGTACCCCTTCTACTACGTGTGATAATACATATTTTGATTCATTTAAAAAAAAATATAATGTATAAAACTTATATGTAAATTGATCCATACTTGATTTATTTATATATAGAGTTAGTGTTTATTCACTTTACTTCCTACAAATTAGGAAAGAAATTACTCTAAAACTACATCATTTCTCATGATGCTAACTACATCATTTCAATGAAACATCATGAGAAATGACAAAAAAATACATTTATTCATAATTTTAAAATAAAGTATTTAAATCTTTTTAACAGTAATTTATTGAAACGATATAATTTTAAGATAACTTTCTCCATAATCTCTAAAAGATAAGGTAGATAAGCAATATATATATATATATATATGTACCACAATTAAAAATGAGCTTACAGCTATATGAAAGGTAAATTAGTGTGGAGAATCGTTTTCAAGAGACAGGCTCGATTATATCCTAATTATACCAAGAAAGTGATCAATAAATTTGATAATCCTGCTTAGACATCTGAATCAATTGATGCTTTTCTAAGGTTGCCATCCATCTGGTCTCGAAGTAACAAAATTAGGTAACCTAAAAATCCCTTATCTGCCACAAAATGGCCGAGAAGTAAACCTGTCGTGTGGAACATGAGGTTATAGTTCAATCATCTACTACTTTGTGAACCTTAAATCTCATTTCCTTAAAAACTATCAAACCGAGGATTATGTTGAGAAACATTGACAACACATGAACTTATAACTCATGAATTGTTAATGTTCATGTTCGATCTCTATTTTATAAGGAGTGGGTTCATATCCACTTTCCTATTGAAACATACAGTACCTGAAATGAGTAAAGTGGGAAAGGAGAAGTGGAGGTAATTGGATGCCCATTTATGTATTTTTTTCTTGACATAAGAGACATGTTTGGGCAGCTTCACAAGATCTAGTTGACACAAGCTGACCAGCATAGAGACCTGCAAAACAAACCCGAGGGTTGTTTCTTAGGTAGACACTTTGACGCCCAAGTTAGTAATATTCTATACTCGGAACTTTCTTTAGAGAGAGAAATATAATAAAGAGAGAAAAACTCTCAGAAAAGTCCCTACCTTTGAGGGGTGTGGAGGTATTTATAGATTCATTGGAAGTGTTTTACACGTGTTGCACTTCTATTGGTCCCTTTGGATCCATTTCAATGTATATGAGCTCCATTGTGACTCATGGATGTGCTCATTTGTACTTGGGCCTTATGGGCTTTTATTTCATTTATGGGCTAGTTAGATTACTATCCCAACAAGACACAACTTCATTTGCTCTCCAACATTAGGGATTGGTGACCTTTCAACTGTTGCAATTTGAATAGAAATAAAATGTAAGCTGCCTGTTTCTTCTGTTGAGCCAAATGAGCCCTGGCACTGCTATTATACGACTATGGAAGACATAGGAAAATCAGAAAGTGTTAGTCAAGTAATCAAGTTGAAAATTCTAATTGCATATATATATTTTTTGAAGTATCCTTAGCTGAAGTTTGGTTTGAAGTATTCTCAAATAAAGTTCAGTGTTTGATGAATAAGGGAATTAGTAGCAACTGGTCGGAGCGGGCCGTTCTATCTCTCATCCTATTTTAATGAATAATAAGTCAAACATGTGATTGGATTTTAAGATGTATATCCCATCCCATCTAATCCAATCCAATCTAATCCCATTAATTGTATCTTATCCAATCCCATCCCAGGGGCCAAACGTGCTCTTAGAGACTGGTGGACTTACTCAGTGTGCTGCAAAATCAGGTATATTTGTACGAGATTAGAAGCTGTTTCCAGCAGCATAAAACTTGTGCGGTTGTTGGGAGTGTTCTTTGCTGCAATAATTAGAGAAAATATATAAATTAAATTTGGTAATTTTCCACAAGAGAAAGAAGAGAGATGAAAAGGAAATGAATGAACTGTTTCAACTTTTAACTATATAAAACTATATCAATTCACTAAAAGGTTAATGTATCTTAAAATGAATCAGTCAATAGTTACTTATACCAAATGGTGACAATGTGCAAACCCAAGAATTTCAAGTTAAAAAACGATCAAATGGACAAATAAATTGTTTAAGTTGGCTCCAACGATATTGTTTAATTCAACTTTAAATAAAAATTTTGGTTTCTTTCCTAGCAACAACTTTTTAAAGCGAAAAGTACTCAAGCTGAAAAGTCTAATTGCATATTGGAAAAAGGGTTTGAAGTATTCTCAGCTGTAGTTTGGTTTGAAGTGTTCTCAACTAAAGTTTAGTGTTTATGAATGAGGGAAGTAGCAGCAACATCTGTAATATGTTAGAAGTTAGAATCAAAAAATTCAAAATCAATTATTTTTGTCCTTCCATTATTTATATTCCATAGACAATTACAGAATGTTGAATATATATGACTTTAACCTCAAACAAAACCCTTTTGTTTCGAAGGACTAGTAAGTAGTGTACTTATATATTTAGTGACTGTGGTGTGGTTGTTGGGAGTTTTCTGCTGCAAGAATTCATACGATCAGTTTTCTTTCCTTCACCGTTGATTATTTCATCTAAGAAGGGTGGTTTTTTGTTTGCTTCTCAGATAATCCTAGTTAATTGTTATTGGGTTTGTCAATTCATACGATCAGTCTTCTTCGTACCCTCTTTTTGCTGTAATTCATAAGCAATGGCAACAATGGTGAGCACAAATGTGGAGGATAGGGTTATAATTGCCAGCATGCGATAGTCGTAGTCAAGATGACTTTTGCTAACATCATTGCCAACCCAGCTACTTGGAGAAGCTGATGTGAGTATTATACTGAGGCAGTTCCCTACGCCATCCGCGATTCCGCACACTGCTTTTGCCTCTAAGTCATTGTCTAGATGGTCAGGATGGAGAAATTCTTCCAGTCTTTCTTCCAGTATTCCTTTCATCATTCCCCACAGGAGAAATTGGGGCGGAAGCCACAACATGCTGGCGGAATTATAATTGGAATCCAATCTGTGAGCAATAAGAGAAGCTACCATGCAACACAAAGAGGAAAAAACCATACCAATGCTGATTCTGAGGAGCCTAGCCCACCGCTATTTTTTCTATCATGGTACTGTTCGATTGGACAATGGCACACCTGCTCGTTTATTTTGGAGACATGCTCCGGAGAGGAATAGAAAACGAGCAGGGATAGATAAATTTCGGTATGTTGGCGCATCTTCTGCTGATGTTAGGCTGTGTGTCTCAACACATTGTGAAGCAGTTAATCAGTTTGTCTTTGGGCCTAAAAAATAGCTTTTGATGATCCAGCCCAGAAGTCCTCTAGGATAGGTTTGGTATCAACATATTCTATATCTTCTGGCCCTAAAAGTAACTTTTGATGATCCAGCCCAAAATTCCTCTAGGATATGGTATCTATAAATTCTATGCTACGTTTACAGTTTGGCCACCATAAAAACAGGCACTAGAGGCAGTGTGGCTTCTTCACGCCTCCGGTGGCCGGTGCAGACTTCTGAGCAGCCTTGATGGTCAGCTAGCTACTTCCACGGCGCCTTACCACCGATGATTTTCTAGCTGTCTGCTTGGTGCAAGCCATTTCAAATTCGAAGATGAAAATTTGGTGTTGACTTGAAGAAAAAGGGGTTTGGGATTGAGAGGTCTTTTATAAGGGAAAATTTGGAAAAAGCGGGAAGATGAAAATTTTGTGTGTTTTCCATATATTTGAATCCCTGAATCCAGACCGTAGATTGAAAGGGATTATCGACGGCTATACGAACTTTGAAGTCATGATCCGCGTCACCGCAAAAGATGATCTAGGCCGTTCATTGGATTTAAGAGAGGAGAGACGCGGATTGCAATCGTACGGAAGACGAGACGTTTCAATGTGGGGTCGGTGGACTTCATTTATATTGGGCCACGTTTTCAAAGACAAGAAGGTAAGGATTTCATCAATGCCAAATGCAAGTTTTTAGTGGCCAGACAGAAGGAATAGAAGTTTTTAATGTATGTCAGCTACCTGAGTTTCATCACAAGTAAAGAAACCTCCTATTCTGTGAGCATGATTCTCAAACTTTGTATTACGAATTATAATTAATCTTAAATGTTAACCCCTGTGTTTCCACTTCTTTCTAACAATGTCGATTTGAATGCCATTGTTGGTATTTTGAATTTTTTTTCATTTCATAGAAGTTAGGATTATGATTTTGAACGTAGCATTTGGCTCCCTACAGGAAGTCATAAACTTCTAACTGTTGAAATCTATATTATATGTTCCCATTAATTGATTGGAAAATTTTGAAACCTGTTAAAGAAAGGCAAGAAATATTGAAAAGCTGAAGATAGATATTATTATTCTCAAATGTAGTTATAACAGAAATTTTCAACTTGGAGGTTAAAGGCTAACACACCAGCAACATAGTGCATGGCAACAGAGAAACACAATCTTTTCCAATTACATCATTATACAACACAAAGAAACAAAGTATAGCTTAATACACAAATGCACAAGGAATCTAAGAAACCATCCAAAGAAACAGTCAAGCACAAAATACCCAAAACAGAAAATTAATTACAAAAATACCAGGAGAACTTCAGCCCTTCTTCCCACTCTTTTCCTTATCCTCTTTGTCACGTAATTCATAGGCAATGGCAACAATGGTGAACACAAATGTGGAGGATAAGGTTATAATTGCTAGCATGCGATAGTAATTGTCAAGATGAATTTTGCTAATGTCACTGCCACTGCCAACCCGCCAGCTGCTTGGAGAAGCTGCTGTGAGTATCATACTGAGAAAGTTCCCTACAGCATCCGCGGTTCCGCACACTGCTAGAACCAGTAAGTCTTTGTCTAGATGGACATCGAGAATTTCTTCTATCCCTTCTTCCAGTATTCCTTTCATCATTCCCCACAGGAGGAATTGGGGCAGAAGCCACAACATGCTGGCGGAATTATAATTGGACTCCAATCTGTAAGCAACCAGAGAAGCTACTATGCAACACAAAGAGGAAAAAAGCATACCAATGCTGATTCTGAGGAGCCTAGCCCACCGCGCTTCTTTCTTTTCATCATGGCAGTGCTCGACTAGATAATAGCTCACCTGCGCGGTTATGATGGAGACAAAATCGGGAAAGGAATAGAAAACGGATGTAGGAATTTTGAAGCTTACGGTGTTGTTCTCTAGATAAGCAACTTGTTCCATGAAAAAAGTGTCAGCTGTTGCATTAACCAGATAACATGTAGATGCGAATGTTAACCAGATAATAGCTTGGTTTAGCTCTGGAACTAAGGCATTCGGATTTTGCTTTTCGTCCTTTCCATCAATTTTCTCTTCATCCTTTTTATCTTGTTTCTCCTTTTCACCAGATTTGTTTTCACCCCATGTAGATTTGGCCACTTTGGGTTCGTAAAATATAAATTTTGGCAAGGAAAGTAATCGTTGTAGAACCGCGTCTACTGCCGTTTCTACTGCCGCTTCTACAGCTTTCTTTAACTCTGAAACGGTATCCAGAATTTTCTTTTTGTCCTTTGCATCAATTTTCTCTTCATCCTTTTTATCATGATTCTCCATTTCACCAAGGTCGTAATATCGAGCACCCATCCAGAAGAACAAATTATAACTGATTACCGTCACTGCTGTTGAAATCTTGATGAAAACTTCGGTAGAAAACACTGCTGCAAGCACTGTACCCAAGATTGTCCCTGGAAGTTTAGCAGCAAATAACTTTTTTCTTACACGATTCCTCAATTTTCTCGCATTTTCCCTCTGTAGCTGTCTTGCCACAGAATCCATCTCTTCCACTGTGTCCTGTGGACCGGTTCCGCTAATCTCTTTCTCTGTCCAACTTAACTCCTGATAGCAAAATGTGCGTAATACTTCTCGGGCTTCTCGGATTGTTTTCTGATGAGTTCCTCGTACCGAAATTTCTATCAGAAGTGGATCTTTATCACCGGTTGTTGTTGGCGCCGGCCGGCCATTGCTCACTGGACTTTTCCGTAACTTGTCGTCGGCTTTTTTAAGCTGAGTATTGAATAAATAACTAGTAGAACCTTCACCAGCGTAACCCGCTCCCAGCATTGATAGCTGTGCAACCAGAAAAAGCCGACGGTAGCTCCTCTTGGATGGACTAACCCACAATAGCTGAGAACCCTAAAATAAGAAATGAAATTCAATTTTCCATTAAAAAAAAAGGAAGAATTGACCATCAATTAATTGTCGTATTTCTTTAACATTTCTTTAACATCAGTAATTTGCTACTTTTGTTCAATTTTCCATGGGTGTTTCAGATTTGGGATCTACATTTCTATTCAAAAAATATTTTTACTTTCTCTATGTTTCAAAATATAAAGATTTTGACATTTTTTTGGCATATTGTTAAATAATATTTTAGTATAATATGTAAATAATAATTAATTTTTTTTTATCAAAACGAGACTTCTAAGCAAGCATCATGTATAAAAAAATCAATTATTATATATATTTATAATTAGCAGAACATTTTCATTAAGAATTAATTATCAATTTAACCCAGTAACCAACGGAGTAAGAAAACACAAGGTGTGAAATGAAACTCTGTGCCTCATTCAGGGAGCGAAGCACAAATATCCCAAACCTCAGAGAGGTGAAAAGGCTGAGGCACACCTGTTTTTATACCACGGTATTAAAGACGCAGCAAGAAAAATGAACTTACAGAGATGAAAGTTGCATAGGTGTAGAGAGTCATTCTGGCGAGACCTATGCGGGATTTTGCCATGTATACCAAAACAACGCGAAAAAGTGCCCCTAATCCTTTTTGGAAATTCGCAGAGATCACTGAAGGTCTGACACCGAGTTTTCCTTGCTTTTGGATGAACAAAACCAAGTAACCTAAATATCCATATTTTGCAGTCGAGTATCCGGAGAGTAAAGCTGTAATGTAGACGCAACGGAGTGGAAAATAAGGTTAATTGCAAACTTAGATTTGTACACCTCAATTTTCATTTCTTTGAGGGAGAGTCTAAGGCTTAGTAATATTAACAACACCTGAGAGGGCGAAACCAGTGCTGGCAAAACCAGCGCAGGCCGAATCAACGCCGGAGTCTCGGGGGTCGTAACTCGAGACATATTCAAGTATACTCTCCCAGCTGAAACCCCCAGTCATGTGAAGAGAAATGCAATTTCAGCTGCCTGCCTGTTTCTTCTGTAGAGCCAAATGAGCGATCTGGTACCGTCTCAATTATGTCTGGATATCAATATATAAGAAAAACATGAGTCAAGCATCAATGCACAAGTACTACTGTATACAAAGCTCGCATATTAAAAAGAGAAACCGTTGGTTGAGAGGGAGAGAGAGAGAGAGAGAGAGGGAAAAACTAATTAAGGTTTTGTTGCATTAACTCTTATGTTTTCTTGCCTCTGCTTACTAATTGGTGGGAATTTTTTTTTTATCAGCACTAATTGGTGGGATTGTTTATTCAACTTCCTTATTAACATTGGGATTCGTATGTTTTCTTACCTAGAAAATTGAATTAATAAATTCAGTCACACCCTCCAATTTTGATTTCAAGTGCAACCAAGGTCTCTCACCTGCACTAGCTAGCTCCACTATCTTTATTGTGCAAACATTAAAGACTTCCTGATTTTGCCGCGACTATAAAAACCAGATCACTGCAAACCGTATTAACCATCCATGTCTCACTCCAATCTTCTGCCAGGGCTAATCCTTCATGCTGCACAACATTACCTTCACAGGTACTATGTATTATTCCATACAAAAACAACAAAATAATATAAAAGCACGCCCTTAAAATTTTCCGAACAATAATTAATATTGAGATTCTTAAAAATTGACTTGAGACACTGATAGTAAATCTTTTTTCCAAAAAAAACAAAAGGCATTATTAAAGGTAAACCCATATCGAAAGAAACTGCTTGTTAATGGGAATAATCAAAGGGCACTAACATTTAGTAACAATTACGAAATTGCTTTCCTTTTAATCCGTAGGATCCAAATCAAGTGATCCAATGCCTTTTGGAATAATAACATAAAACAAAAGCTGTCATCACGCCGAACTCCAATGACGCATAAGTCCCTCCTTTTCTCTGATTTTTCTTGTTTTCCTCATCAACATGTAACTGTACCTTTCCCTTTTCCCTTCCAACCAAAAAGTAAAAGATAACAAGGAATGGCATTGGGTAACTTGGGTTGTTGTGACGATTAATTTTTTTTGGTACAGTGACGATAAATTTTCGTCTCTCTAATCCACCTATACAAGTAGATAACTTTACTCTTCCATTTATAGATGTGATTATTGAGTTGTTGTGGCGTTAAATTTTCGTCTGTCTGAACCTGGTCCTATGGCCAAGAAAGTTTATCTCCCTCTCTTCAAAGGTAACTGTTCTAATCAGCATAACAAAAATGTTAAAAAAAACTTTTTTTTTTCGTCTATCTAATCCACCTATACAAGTACATAACTTTAGTCTTCCATTTATAGATGTGATTATTAGATGTACCCACCACTTCATTAAATATAAGGGTATTCTCTTTTATTATACATAAAAAAAAATTCTTTGTTTTTTTCCATCATTTCTTTAACTAACAATTAAAAAGAACAATGCCTTTTGAAGTAGAGTTGGTTCAAAAACTATCACTATCACAAATGGAAAAGTCTAAATTCATCATCTTTTTATATGGAATACAAAGTTAGTAACAAAAACACAAGGAAATAAAGCATGAAAAACTTAGAGAAAACCCAAGAAAATTCATATTAATTCTAGTGAAACTAATGTTCTTCTCATGTATTATAAAGTATAAGAAAAGTGGCAAATGTAACCCCATTAATGGAAGTTCTGTTTTGTTAGTATAAATCAAGAGGAGTTTCTTAGAGAGATGCGTAAAATATGTTAATAAAGGCGTTATAAAATCATCACAACGATTAGAATTAATGATTCGTGACTTTATTCGGGATTTCTCTTACACAAAAGCTAGCTATGATGGTTGTTTCGTGACTGCTTTCAGGTATTCAAGTGTTGATGGTCCCTTGTTGTCTACAAGAAAAATCTTGAAGTTCTTGAAGACCAACCTCAACATTGAAAGTTATATATGATACTGGATTTTCAGGACGAATAAGACTAGAAAAGGGTTGGGATGAGAAAAGACTCTCTCCCATTGTATGTAAAAATATGATATAATAAATTATATAGTTTAAATTATTAAATAAAAAGTAAATCTTTTAATATTAAAAATTATTTGTATTTTATGATGTGGTGGAGTTTTTTTTAATTTATATATTATTATAAAAAAAACTCATATTTATATTTTTATTTATATACTGTATCATTTAAATTTAAAATTTTTTATTTTTATAAAATAAAATTATCATTTAATTATCTAAATAGTTGAAACCGTATGATAGAGTATAAGTGGTTAAAACAACAATACCTTTCATAAATGCATAAACTATTTTGATTTGATTTGATTTGAAGAGACAATTTGGTGAATTTGAGGCCTAAAAATGGACACCTAGGACCGCCGCACCCTAGCCAACTTCAATAAACCAACCAATCAGTTTGCTAGATGGGTGATGGGTCACCAGCTGCAAGAAACTGCTTGTTAGTCAGAATCTAAAAAAATTATTTTTTAATATAA